TGGGCCGTCTTGGGCGCCTCTTGGGCCGGCTTGGGGCGCTCTGAGGCCGTCTTGGGTCATTCTTGGAGTCGTCTTGGGCCGTTTTGGGGTGATTTTCGGTGCCTCTCGGGCCGTTTTTGAGTATCGCAAAGCTGAAAAGGAGAGAACGCCGAAATCGTTCAAAGACGCAAGGAAACTCACAGATTTGTCCCTTTGGGGGCCGTCTTGGGAGACCTCTTGGAGGCCTCTTGGGTCGCCTTAGAAGAGGCCATCTTAGGGGTCTTCGAGCGATCGTTCGGCGACTCGGGGCCCTCTTGGACCCCCTGGGCTGTCTTGGAAGCCTTGGAGAGCCCCAGGGAGGCGCCCCCCGGGAGCATAGCTTGCACGCGATGAGGTGCGGTCAGGAGGGGTGGCCCATTAGAAGATTACAAAAACCCTACCAGGCAGCACTTGGCATTCTAGCACGCCTCAACGTGCCAGGGGGCACGGTGGCGGATGTTCGCCTCGGACGCACGCTTCCGAAGAGGACATGTAGTATTGGTATGCCCTCCTGCGTCCAATTGAGGGCTCCCCGAGGTTCCCCTGGTGCTCAGGAGCATCTCCGAGGCCCTCGCGCGGATGGCCCTCCCTGCCGTCGGCATAGCGCATTTCGAGAAAGAAGGGCTCCACACTGGGGTGCTGCTTTTGAGGTCCAGGGGCTGCTTTTAGACGCATCGAGGACTCTAACAGGGTCTTCAGAAGTCCCCACGATGACTGCCAGCCTCCTTCATCTTCGTCCTCCTACTCCTCCTCCTTCTTGTCTTCGTCCTCTCCTGCTGCTCGACCGCCGTCTGACTCTCTTGCGCCGCTGACCAAAAACGTCTTCGCCCCCTTCCTCCTCCTCCTCCTCCTTGTCCTCGTCCTCCTCTTCCTCCTCCTCTTCATCCTCTTCCTTCTCCTCGCCCTCGTCCTCGTCCTCGTCTTCGTGCCGCTCTTCAGCTCCTGAGGCTCCGCGTCGCCGACCAGCCTTTCGGTGGATGACCGGCCCGCCGTGCCGGAGCGCCCGCCCGCCCTTCTCCCACGGGGGCAGGGCGAGGGCGCGAGGGCGCGGAGGATCGCGCGTCGCGCACCGCGGGGCGCCCGTGCGCGCAGGGAGGTGTCCTCTCGGGTGCCTCGGTCTTCGGCGGGCCGCGGTGGGGGTCTTCCTCTAAAACGACGCGAAGATCGGGACAAAATCGGATCGGGATAACTCGAAATCTCTGAGAATCGGCGGGTTTGGAGGATGTATCGGGCGCCGCGGCCGCTCCAGAGCGTTCCGGAACGCTCTGAGAGCGCTCTGGAACGCTCTGGAGCGATTTATCCCGATCCTAGCCCTGTTTTATCCTTCCGATCCGTTTCCTGACGGCGTCACGGGCGCCGCGCCCCGCCGAAAGAGGGCAATCTTGGATGCCCAGAGTCCCGCATGCTTGTTGGGCGCCCTCCTGCTTCCGTCATCGGGGGGTTTTCCCTATCTCTTCCTCGTCAGGATGGAGTGGGTGAAATTCCTCGGGCCACATGCGTATCGAGTGGACGGCGACGGCGACGGGCTACAGGATCTCGCTCAAGATCCTCATGCTTGGAGGACGATTGAGAGAGCGTTGTAGGTGGTGTTGAGTGTGCGCTTGCCGACGCGCCTTGGGCGTAATTGTGGCGTCCGTCTGTCTGTCTGTCTGTCTGTCTGTCTGTCTGTCTGTCTGTCTTGACCCTTTTCATCTCGAGCCGTTCTTGACGGACCAGAACAATGGCGGCGACGCAACGGGGGATACACGGCGCCGGAATCGGCAAAAAGAAACGGCAGCATGGAACGGGTCAAAGACGCGGCCCTGTCGCTTCCAGGGCCCGCGTAAGGCTCCAGTAGGGGGCCACATGCGAACCCTACCCCTACCCCCCCACGATTTCTGAGGGGGAGGGGTGGGGTTCACTTCGCTCGGGAGCTCCCGAGCGAAGTGAACCCCACCCTCCCCCTCCGAAATGGTGAAGGAGGAGGAGGAGGAGGAGGAGGAGGAGAGAGGAGGAGGAGGAGGAGGAGGAGGAGGGGAGTGGCCCCCTATCCAGGGCCCGGCGAGGGCCTCAAGGAGGCGGGCCTCGGGCGACGAAGCCTGTGCATGTCCACTGCTCCCTGGCCCAGGCCCACCCTGCACCCGGGCGCGCTTCCCCGACCAGCCGCGAGGGCGTGGTGTACATCGGGGGCGGAAAAGAGGGGGGTGATGACTAGGGGGGGGTGGATATCATGGCGGGTGCCATGACATTTCCCCAGATTTCATGGCGCCTCTTCTTGTTTTATTACGTCCCTGGCCCCCCCGCTGGGCCGCGCACATGCCGCCAGCCATGATTTGCACCCCCCCCTCTTGGACACCCCCCTCTTGGCCGCTCCCGATAAGAAGGACGCGCGACTTTGCTCACGGTGCCCTGGCGTCCTTGCTCTCCCTTGCTCTTGCGTCCTTGAGGTTTTCGTCGTCCGCCGCCCCAGAAATCTCAACTTCGGCTTCCAAGGGTCTTGCGTCCTTACCGCGCGTCCTTATTAGGGTTTTTGACTGTACACACCGCTGCTGAGTTCTGGAGGGGCCTGGGCAGGGAGCAGTGG